GAGTGAGAGCACAACAACTCATGGCTCTACTCCCGGCATCTCGAGTAACACCATCTCTTGTGTTCGAGACTACAGGGCTGGATTACGCCGGGCCAGTCACCATGAAGACTTTTCAGGGCAGAGGTGCAAAGTCCTTTAAGGGTTTGATAGCAGTGTTCATATGCTTCTCTACCTCTGCCGTTCATCTCGAAGTAGTCTCTGACTACTCCACCAAAGGATTTCTCAAGGCATTTCGACGGTTTACCAGCTGCAGGGGCATTTTAAAAACGCTCAGAAGCGACTGTGGTACCAACTCCCAAGGAGCAAACAAGCAGCTTAAGGAGCTACTCTCAGCTGCAACGAAGGAATCCCTCAAGATCCAGAGACTTCTCGCTAATGACGGCACTAAATGGATGTTCAATCCTCCAGCAGCACCACATATGGGTGGAAAATGGGAGGCGGCGGTGAAATCAATCAAGTATCATCTCAAACGAACCATCTCGGATACGTTGCTAACGTTCGAAGACTTCTCCACGTTCTTAGCTCAAGTTGAGGCGGTTCTCAACTCTAGACCTCTCAGCTCTCTCTCGGAAGACACTGATGACATCAGAGCATTAACACTAGGGCATTTCATCAGAAGGAAAGCATTAACAACTATCCCCGAGCCTTCACTAATAGACATCTCAGATTCCAGGTTATCTCATTTCCAGCGGATTCATGAGCGCTTCCAGCAATTTTGGAAAAGGTGGTCGACGGAATGCCTGCAAGCGCATCAGACCACATCCAAATAGCAGACATCGCCGAACGATATCAGGGAAAGGTCTCTTGTCCTCATAACCGACGAACGACTTCCTCCGTCAAAGTGGCCTCTCGCCAGGGTGATACAGCTACACCCAGGAAAGGACGGTCTCTGCAGGGTTGTCACGCAGAAGACCGCCACCAGCACTATCACTAGACCTATCGTCAAGCTCGCACCATTGCCTCTCCAACCGCACAAGGAATAATAATTTTCTCAGCGGTACTATACATCTCACTAAGACAAATTCTCGAATCACGCTCGAAAATTGGTGGGGAGAATGTTCAAAAATTGCACCCTTCAGACTAGATAGCAGCACCTCTCGGCTAGCATGATTAATGCGCCGTCTGTTATCGCTGAGAAGAAGACATATCAATTGTTCTTATTGATCAATGGATCACGCCACTTAACGTGTCCATAGGTCATTTGTCCCCTGTGACGTCATCCTCTGCGTGTTACTTTCCTATTGATTGTTTGTAATCTCTTCCTAGCGTGGAACTCGCTCATGGGTCTATTGTCTTTTCCACTTCCGCTCTGTTCCTCTAATCGAACCGAAAAGTTGCGTCGTCCGAAACAATCTCTTACGAAGTGAAACAGTGCGGACGTTTCTTTAACAATCTCTGAAAATTTGTGAATCATCTCATAGTCTCTCGTCTCGTTTTCTCCTCAACTCGACCATCTCCATATTCTTTCTCTCACCGTTCCCTCTCATCTCTTATAACGCTTTTCCTTATCTAGTCCACCTCTTTTTACTCTCTCTCACTAACGGCTTCTCGTGCTACGTACTTCCGGTACACGTGGCGTGATATCCGGTACACGTGGCGTCGCTTATCTATTACTGCTTGTATAAAATCTATTATACTTTCGCCATCTCTATTTCTTTCTGTTAAAATTTGTTAAT